TAGGAGAAGATCCAGAGGTTCGCGGCTTCTTTCACGCGAGCGCTTTCAACTCGTTTGGCATCAGTCTCTCGGGTGGTATCGGCTATCAAATGGCCAAATGGCTCACAACAGGCGCACCAGAGATCGATTTATCAGCCTATGATATAAAGAGATTCAATAGACATTTGGTTCACAATAGAGTTTGGTCTCAAGAGAGGTGTCGGGAGGCGTACGCCAGAAACTATGGCATTATCTATCAGTGCGATGAACCCCTCACTGGTATTCACAATCAATATTTAGTTAATCTATAGATATGTTTATTTAATAAACTTAAAAATTAATGTGTAATTAAAAGCCCGAAACGAGACGTTTAGCGACGCGTTATATGAAGTACTGAAGAGCAACGGCTGTGTATATCGAGAAAGACATGGCATTCAGTGTCCGGATTGGTTTGATTTGACGCCACAACGACTCACAACTGAAGAGTACATTGATTTAGACAACACATACGACTGGTCCGAAGACAGCCGGCAATGGATGGCCGTTAAACACGAATGCGAGTCCTCTCATGAAAGAGCAATTGTCGTGAATCTCTCTTCAATGGCTAAGTATTTGGTTCGCGGAGAGAATGCTATGAAAGTAATCGATAGTTTGAGTCCAACTGATGTCAAATCAATGCCCAATAATTCAACAATACTTACATATCTGCTCAATAAGAGGGGCGGTATTATCGCCGAAATTATCGTTACAAAAGTAAATGACTCCGAGTTCTACATAACGTGTGCCGAAGTGTCCACTAATCATGTTTTCGTCAATTTATGTGATGTAATAAACGATGAAAACATTGGAAATATAGAAATTGTCGATTTGTCTAAAGATATCGGAATTCTATCACTAAATGGACCGAAAAGTACGGAAATATTAGAAACAAGTTTTGATCTATCATTGAATGATTTCCGCGAAGGGAGTCATCAGAAAATCAAAATAAATGTAAGCATTGAATGAATTTTATAATAATTTATGTTAAAAAATTAAAACATAATCTTTTATAAGGATATTGAGATGCGTTTAATAAGATTTACACAACTGTCTCACACCGGATGGCAAATGCATGTGAATAACAATCAGGACTTGAAAGTAATTTACGCCAAACTTATCGACAATAAGTTGGTCTCAAACGCCGGTCACAGAGCCTACGAGTCGCTGAGAAATGAGAGCCAATGGCTGTCCGGATGTCTGGATATGCGGTCCGACGACACGCTCTCCGATGTCGGACTTGAGAGTCATATTTGTGGACAAAAACGAGAGACAAAACCATTCATTGATTTTGAAAGGAATAGGAGTTCAGACGAGAAAAAACATTTTGTTTTGTTGGAGCCGTTGAGTCGGAAACCCATTGTGTGCGGACTCGAGCCCATATGGTTTCAATCTCAAGCCATTGGTTTTGTGCGCAAAAACTTTTACTCTCATAAAAGTGGCCAAATGTTGGCCTTCGGACTCATTTACGACAAGTATCTGAAGGACTCGATGGCCATACCTTCGATGGTTGACATTGAGATATTTGGCAACTTATACAAAGCGAAAGTTGACAAAATCTATTGCAAACAAAACACAACTACAATGAATCTCATTTAGAAAATGCATTTTAGATCACAATTAATTAGTTGTGAGATTTATGATCATTAGTTTGTATCAAATTTAAGGGTTTTCCTATAATAAAATAATTAATTTTAATTTAGTGTTTGTCTAATTAATTATAATGATATGCTTTACAAACTTATTATTTTTATATTAATTAATTACTTTTAAGATCATTAAACATATGATTTTGTTATACAAAGTTTTATTAATGCCTATAAGACTGTTTTGACTACATTTCAATTACACAGAAAATCAGTGCAAAATTAACTGAATTTATTTGATTGTTTGTTTAATTAATAGTTGTATTAATTAATAAAACTCATTTCGTTTCAATTTGTTAACTAATTAAACACATGATCATTAGTTACAGTATATACAGATATAATAAACCCGTATTAAGTGATATCAATGATCTAAAAGTATTGACTGTAATCAATGATTAATGAATTAATTAATATAATAATTATTTAATGAGATATCTTATCAAATAATTCACATCAAATTACAGTATCATAATAACCATGAACTATTTAATCTATGGTTATTACTTTGCACAGAATTATGTATGGAAGGTGACCTTCTATTATATATCAAAGTAATTTTTAAATTCTTAATAGAATTTTTTTATTCCTAAATTTAGAAAAAATTTTTAAATTTATTTGTTATAAAAATAAATTAGAAATTTTAAATACAAATAGATTTTTATATTTTAAAAATTAATTAATTTCATTCATATATTTAGATAATAGATGACACTATGAGTCACACAAACGCTACAATTTCTGCGATCGACTCATATTCGAAAGAAAAGTTCAAACATTCAGTTTCACCGGTGAGTCGACAACAGATAATTATCGTTTGTATGACCCGTTTTGCCCTCTTTTAGCAAAATATTTATTAATTTTATTAAATATATTACATTCTAAACAAAATTTAATATTTTTAGATTATTTTATGCCCACGTATTTTGCAATAAGCCGATTATTATGAAAAAAAAGATTTATTCTACTACCTTCAAATTTTTAATGGAATCATAACATAAAATGTACCTAGTTAATCCAAATGCATATTATATTCTAACAAAGCAAAAATAGAGATTATTATTTTATTTTTAAGAATTTTAAAATTTAAAACTTAATGCAATTTATTACAGACCATACACTGTATGGCAAATACACAGAATTATTATGTTTTTCTCAAACAATTGCTTACAAAAAGAAAATAGAAAATATCGTACAATACATGTATGGCATTATCTAATCAAATAAGATAGCACTAAATTCCTTATTAAGAATGATCATGCTTATATTGATGACATTTCTTACATTATTTATATGCAATACAACAGTTATAGACTGTATTCTTACAACTTTATAATTAAATTCTTGTGACGCAAAACACTTTTGTTTTTAATTTAACTTTAACTCAAATGACAGATAAATATCGTTAAAGAATTTATCAAATTAGTCTCATCTTAAGCTCTCTCTCTCT